TTTTTTTAACTCAGCATAATTCATAGGTTCACAGAATGTCAGTTCTCCTTACACGCAAAATATCTCTGTAAATGTTTGTTGATTAATAAAATATTAGATGATCAAATAAATAATGAAATACTGTTAATTAGAATTTTGAATACTTGATGGCTTAAAGTTAGGTTTTTAACTTTAACTTGCCTTATTAGGAAACTTATTCAATTTTTCCTGTTCATGTCCCCAGGCCTTTGAACAAAAGGAAGAATTAGTTGATAGTTGGTGATTAGTTGGCACCGTTTGGGAAGAAGGCGCTGGTTCTTTTGTGATTTTAAGGGTAGTTTAGCTTGTTTTGAAAGCTTTTCTAAGTCAGGTTTAGTTTGATAATTCTAAAGAGAAGAGGTAAGTGTTTGGATCTCTCTTTGGCCTCAGCATTCTATTAAACTAAATAAATAATGAAACTACGTGAAACTACATAAAATAATCTGATAGAAATTTTTCAGTGCATTTATTAAGCTCCAAGCACCAGTACTTTTGCTATTAAAATGATAAACTTTAGAGTTAATGGTATTATAGTATAAACTTACTCTTATTAAGGCTTTTGCACATTACCATAGTTCATTGATTCTAAGCAGGTATTTTTAGAAAGTATTGGCCCCTTATTAAATGAGATAGGTGTTCTAATGTTTAAAACGTGTATGTGTGTGTGTGTGTGTGTGTGTGTGTGTGTGTGTTAAATAAGGGAGGTGACATTAATGTAACATTTAAAGTGACCTTTGGTAGTTTTCTTAGCATAACAAATATTTTGTTTTTGTTTAGCTTCCATGTTGTGGCCTCAAAGGGGAATCTTGAGTGTTTGAATGCCATCCTTATACATGGAGTTGATATTACAACCAGTGACACTGCAGGTATGTTTGCCTCTGTCGTTAATTGCAAAACATAAACCAAATACAAACATTGTCCACTGCTAATATTTTTACCCATCCCTAAATGTGATTTAAAAAGAGATGTCCTCAATTTTCTGTTTTTAAATGCTTGAGAAAGAGTTTACTTCTGAGGTATTGTGGGAGTGGTCAAGTATAGGGAATTTAGGAGAAAGGATTGCTTTACTGATGAGCAGTTGGAGACCTGAATTCTAGTGCAAGTCCTAGTAGTGTTACAGGATCCTAAAATCTCAGATTTTGAAGAACCATTAGGGGCCATTTAGTTTATATTCATATACTATTGATTAATGAATCATTTCTATTGTGAGGTCATTTGGCATTTGGTTGGACGTTTCTTGTGGTGGAGAACCAACTGCCTCATAACAACATTATCATCAATGACGACAATAATAACAAGAGTAGCTGACATGTGTGTAACATTTAATAGCTATTCTTCTAAGCGCTTTGCCTACTCATTTTATCCCCACATCAACCCAGTGAGATTCTGAGGCCCTGAGCTGTTAAGTAACTCGACCCAAGGCCCTTCAGTAGCTAATTCGAAGTCAGAATCTGTATTCTTAACCATTATGCCTCATAAGGAAGTCATTCTGTACCTAGCTATATTTATAAAAAATCATTTTTAATAGAGAATCAAAGTATTTTTCTCACTCAGTTTTCTGCTTACACTTATTCTCAGTTTGTCTGTCCTTTAAAATCTTTCAACAGAAGTTTGTACATCAAAGGTAGACCTTTGAGTATTTGAATATAGCTATCTCTTTTGTTCCATGAGAGTGCTAGTTTTCTATCTATCAGTAAAAACATTCTCACTTCTCTGGGACTGTTGACAGCTTACTTCTTTGTAGTTCTACTTTGTTTTTCTATTAAATATAGGAGGTGACCCAGAACTGAAAGGTTTTTGTTTGTTTTCATATTTTTTTATTCTGTGATTCCATGAATGGGCAAATTTATGTTACTATGCTTTAGATCTGATGCTTCCTTGTTTTTTTGCTGCCATATCTCAAGTGGCTGGATTTGGTATTTTCTTAGCCCTGACCCAACATTTTTCTGTGACTTAAGTTTCTGTAGCATTTTGTTGAACACCAGGTACTGTTGCCACTGTGCCTAACCCTACCATCTCCACTTCATGCTCTTACTTTACATGTACATAAGTTATTTTAGTCACTTTTCACAATGTGGAATGTTTGTAGGACACTTGTCTCTAAACAGGAGCAAATTGAAATTTGAAATGATCACATCTGATTGACTTGTAATTAGAGGATGTTTGGGTGTGGATGAATATATTGTGCTTGCACCTGTTGAAAGACCTTAAAGACCTGGACTCAGTATATTTTGTTTTGCAACCTGGTTAGTCGGCTACACGGAAGTGACCAGAGAGTTGAAAGCCAATTTATTTATCCATCCAAAATGAATAAAACATAAAGTACTTTTCTAGCAAAAAGGTCTACTTATAAAATCAAATTATGGTGTTTTTGTTTTTGTTTTTTTCTGACAGGGTTTAGCTCTGTCACTTAGGCTAGACTGTGGTGGCATGATCATGGCTACTGTAGCCTTGAACTCCTGTGCTCAAGTGATCCTCTGGCCTCAGCCTCCTGAGTAGCTGGGACTATAGGCATGCTCCACTACACCTGATTAATTTTTGTATCTTTTGTGGAGATGGGATTTCACTATGTTGCCCGGGCTGGTCTCAAACTCCCAGGCTAAAGCAATCCAACTGCCTAGGCCTCTCAAAGTGCTGGGATTACAGATGTGAGCCACTGTGTCCGGCCCCCAACTTATATTTTCATAAGTTTGTGGCCAGGTGTGGTGTCTCATGCCTGTAATCTTAGCACTTTGGGAGGCCAAAGCAGCAGGATTCCTTGAGGCCAGGGATTCAAGACCTGCCCGGGCAATACAGTGAGACCCTGTCTCTGCACAAAATAAAAGTGAGCTGTGGATGGTGGCACAAGCCTATAGTCTTAGCTGCTCTGGAGGCTGAGCTGTGAGGATCATTTGAGCCCAGGCATTTGAGGCTGCGCACTGACCTGTGAGGCTGCACTCTAGCCTGCACGACAGAGTGAAACCTTGTCTCTGAAAAATAAACTGAAAAGCAGTTGGTGAGATTAGAGGGAAATTAAGAGCATTGCATGTTAGAAGTTGGAATAGTCTGGTGAAATCCTTGTATCTTTCACCATCCAAGAGGTGTTTGTATAAAGAAATATAACTAGGAAAAATAGTGTTTGGAGGTAGGAAGTTAGTTCTCTAAAAGTTACCTTTTCTGGCATTCAGAATTAACCTTTCAGATTATCTGGTAACGTCTACCCTTTTTGGCATTTCTTTTAAAATGCACATTTTATACACATTATATTTGAACAAGTTGTCTGGTTTTCAGAGATACAATTTCATAATAAATTGAATTTTAGCTGAAGCATGAAAATCAATTGAGGAATACCCTTGCTATGACTTACACTTTTAACTTTCTCAGTTTTCAGTGTCCACACTGCCTATTTGGAAATGTTACATGAAATCTCAGTATTTCTTTCTCTCTCTTCTTTCCTCATTGTCTTTCTCTCCCTTCCCTTTTCTCTGTGCCAGTATGTAATTACCTACTGTGTTTTAGGTACTGTTCTACATGCTGCATATATAGTGGTGAATACAACAAAGTTCCTGCTTTTTACAGATTTGTATAATTAATTTTTCTTTCTACCTTCATTGTTTTGGTTATGTATATTATCTCTTCTTAAAATATCCAACTAGATGAAACATCTTTGGAAACTTAAAATATACTTACAGATTAAATATCTTGTCAACTAGTTTTGGAAGAAACTAATTACATTTCTTTTAAAATCCTCAATTCACATATGAAGAAGATAATCCTTCATATGTATTTTAAATTATTTATTTTATAGGGAGAAATGCTCTTCACCTGGCTGCTAAGTATGGACATGCGTTGTGTCTGCAAAAACTTCTACAGGTAGTGGAAGTGGTTAATACTTTAGCTTTATTATTTTGACTACAAACCATAGATGAGTTTTTAATGTGTTTTTGGAATTTGAGATCAAAGAGGATAGTAAACTAACTTTGAGTATGAGCTTACATATTTTTTTCCATCATTTGTGAAGGAATGTGGACAATAAAGAGCAGAAACTCTGAGGGAAGCGAATTGCATAACTCAGTGTATTAAAAATAAATAACAAAGGCTTGACCTTCCTGTTGACATTAGCTGAAGGTTGGAATTTTTTGTTGTCTAGACTATCATGTAAGATAAAGTCATACAACATAGGATCTATATATTTCTATACAAACATAGATAATTTATACTACATAATATTGTTATATTTTTAATCAGGTAACCACAAAATTCTAACTAGTTGGCTAATTAAAGTTTCCATCAAAGATTTTAGTCATACACTTTTATAAATATATTTGCCACGAAGTTTCATGGCAAAACTCACTTGCTTTTCTGATTAAGTAGCTCAAGTTTTAATTCTTGGTGAAAAAAAAACCCAAACAATACATATTTTCCTGTATTTCATGCCATTCATTATAATGTACCATATGTTTCCTGTTTGGTTAAATGTTGTTAATTTAGTTATATAATGTTACTGTATTTGTTCCATGTCAAAATATTTAATGGATTGTCTGATAGTCTTTAGCTTCTTTGATAAGTGGAATGTTTTAAGATTAAATAACAGCTGTTCATCTGAGATTGGATATCTAATTTTAAAATGAAACTTTCCTAGGTTACTAAGTTTTCTATATTTTAACAGTACAACTGTCCCACTGAACATGCAGACTTGCAGGGGAGAACTGCACTTCACGATGCAGGTAAGCAGAGGTCTCCCTTGAATACAAATATTTGTTAAAATGTCTAGTCATTAGAATTAATTTCAGGATTTTAACACATAGTTATTTTTATAATTCATGGAGAAACAAAGAATATTAAAAAGCTGAATGCACAAATTTGAAATTTATCAGGTTATACAGCTTAAAAAGATTCAGTCAATATTTACAGGGCAGTTTGCTAGGTACTAAAGGTACAAAGGTAGATAAACTATAATCTTACAAGGAGCTCCAAGCTGTGTGTGTGTGTGTGTGTGTGTGTGTGTGTGTGAGTGTGTGAGAGAGAGAGAGAGAAAGAGAGAGAGAGAAACTGTGTGTGTATATGTGTGTCTGTGTTTCATATCTTTGGGAATTGGAGAAATGGGAAGAAGACTTTCCTTAAACAATGTTTAAACCTCTTTTTTCTCATTTGTAAAATGAAGTTAATATTACTACTGCAATAAGTAGTATTAATAAGTATAATCAAATCATAAGTAGTGCCTGGCACATAATTTCTTAATTAATAGTGGTGGTAGTTGTTTTCTTTTAGAGATGTCAGTGCTGAATTTCATATCACTGTGAATGTGCTATATCTTAAAAGAGATTTATACTGATAATTTTTAGAGATTTTATTATACTTGTGTGTCTGAATTTATTTGCATTATTCTTAAGGTATCTTAAAGAATGCACTTTGAAAAAAGTGATATATTTAGGTATTTTTAGAATGTAAGATATCCTTACCTCTTGCTAAGTCTGATATTCCTACATTTAACTCTAAGGTCAAAGGAAAAAAAGTCTACCTTTTCATGTATATGGAATATATGCAGTAGATTAAGGTGGTCTGCATTAAAGACATACTATACTTCAAATTTCCTTCAAATTTTTCTACCTTAATTAAAAACATTTTTGCTTTTTGTATTTTATGTGCTTTTATGATAATTTCTCAGACAATGCATTTTTTTAATATAGAATGTTATTACTGTATTTGCAAAGCATTTTTTCATTATCATTTGAGCCTCACAATGACCCCTGTGAGTTACCTGTATATTTTATTCTCCCTGCTGTTAAAACTGGCACAACTTGACCAATTGAAAACTTAGTATTTGTTAGTTAGATGCATTAGCTAGGGTGGAAACTAAGTTGCTATAACAAAAGAACTCCAATGTCAGCTGCTTATTTAAAAAATTGTTGAGTGATATATGTTGACAGGTGACTCAGTGCCATTTTTAAACTGTATTCTTTCTATCTTGTTTCTCCACCTACCTCTGGGTATCTTTCTTAACTACAAGGTTGAAGCAGAGTTGTGGTCATAGCAGTATTCTAGCTAGTAGGAAGGAGAAGGAGAGAGCATAGAGGAATACATCCCCAAAGTCTAGAGCTCAGACTTAGAAGTAGTAGATTATTCTCCATTCATATTCTACTGATAGGAGCAAAATCAGTTGGCTATATTTATTTGCAGGGGAGGCTCAGAAATATAGATACTCACTAGGTGACTAGTCATATTCTACCTACTGTATAGTAAGAGAAGAGGAGAACAAATTTTGCTAAAATATTTCATTTTCTTCTACAATTCAACTCTCTGGCCTTCCAAATATCTCCAAAGCTCCTACTTCCCACACACTACCAAAGGAGAGGGTATGACATATAAACCACCTCATTTACTTCATCTAGCTCAAATTCTAGGATTTCTAGGTGATATGCAATTTTCTCTTTGGCTCTTCATGGTCTAGTAATTTGCAAACTCTCAAATTTATTATGGTTAACATTTTAAAATTCTCATTTATAATTGGACCAAAAGGGTTGCTAATTTTCCTGAATTAATGTGTTCAGGTTCAGTTTATCTTTTTCTTAAGGCTGATTATACATTTTATATAAAAGATTTGCTGGATTAGAGGTGAGAAGTGAAAATTTCCTTGATTTTCTTATGTTTGGTTTAATTCTACTGTTTCACCAAGAAAAAAAAGAATGCTTACTTCATCAGCACTTTTTGTGCTTATAATTTATGTCAACTCATAAGACTTAAAAAATTCATGGGGATTGTAAACATAATCCTATTTTATGAATTTAACAATAATTTTTCCTAATATAAATATGAACCATAGTGTTAGTCAAAGAAGCATAATGTGATTTTATAATTAGTAGCAAAAGACCTTACTTTGCATAATTAAAGTTGGACATTGCAATCTCTGCTTTTATGAGAAATATGAGTTGTATGATTCATACTTTACTTACTGTGACTGTTCTATAAAAAATGGATATGATCTTTAAAAAAACTGAGCCAACACTTCAAGGATCAAGTCAGTTATAGCCATGTTTAAAAATATACTGTAAGTACAAAATTTAACTTTGATTTTTATTATCTGTGCTTATCCTTAGAATAGTAGTGTATTCTTGTCTTCTGCAAGGTTGACATTATTCCTTGGTCCTAATAAATTATAGACAATTTATAATATGATCTTGTCTAATCCATTTTCAGATGAAAAATTGATGTGTTTAATGCTAAACTAAGAGTGAAGGATGTGAATCTTGGTAGTTTAGGAACTGAAGAACTTATTTACCTAGAATAACACCATGTGTCTTACCAGCAGATGTTCACCATTTATCATTTTCCTTTGTTCCTTAAAGCAATGGCAGATTGTCCTTCTAGCATACAGCTGCTTTGTGACCATGGGGCCTCTGTGAATGCCAAAGATGTAGTAAGTTAGTTTATGTTTATTCTCATTTCAACTCATGTATTCTAACTTTTACATTTTGGGAGATCTGTTGTCTTAATGCTGTTTTATTTTTCCTGTTGCTTAGGATGGGCGGACACCACTTGTTCTGGCTACTCAGATGTGTAGGCCAACAATATGTCAACTGCTGATAGATAGAGGAGCGGATGTTAATTCCAGAGACAAACAAAACAGGTAATTCTTTTATCATGGCTCCCCAGATACCAGCTGGATACACAGGGATAGAAAGGCCAAGTCAAAGCTGCAGCTCTGTTCTCCCACTTGGCCTTTCTTTCCCCTGGGTTCTCCCCTTCCTTGGCTTGCTTTCACTTGGAATTAACATCTACTTCTCAGTTTTCTTCAGAGTCTGCTGAAGAAAGAAGGAGAGGGAAATAGAGAAAATGACAGGGTAAATGTGGACAAAAAAGCAGTGATTAGGTCCTATATTTGGATCAAAGAACTGAAGGAAAGAGGAATTATATCTCCAGTGTTTTAAGCTTAAAAAACTCTTTAATGAAATGGGTGCAAATAAGATACATGGGAGAAGAATTTTAAAATTACATCTATAGTTACTTCTTCATTAGTGAATCTTTTTTCTTGGGTGTTCTGGAAATTAGTATGTTTCAGTATAGATTTTCTCAAAGTGTTTTTTCTTCTTACTCTGCCAGGGTACAGTGCCATCTTCTCTGAACCTGTCCATTTCTGTTTTGCAAGGTCCCTTGGTTTATTTTTGCTTCTGTATTTGATATTATTTTAGTTGGTATGCTGTAATAATTTCTACCCAGAATTCTCCGTATCTCTGTCTGTAGGTCTAATATATCATAGTGCTTGCTGTATTACAATATTGATGTTTATGGTCACAAAGTATCTGAAATACACCCCCTCCATTTAATTCAAGTATTACAATAAATTAAACTAAAATTTCTGGGATTTTTCTAGTTAATTACTAGTAAAATTGTTGGTTTCTTTTGACTTAGTTTTATTCTTCCAAACATGTATTCTATTGTTTGTAGTTCATTAGAATTATAAAAGTATAAAAATTAGCCTTTGTCAGATTGTATAGCTGTAATTGTTTACACATCTCAAAGGAGGAAATTTTTAAGCAGTTAAATCATGTGATTAAGAAAGTGGCTTTTTAATATTACTTTGTTTTTGTAGATACTATAATCAGATTCCAAGCATGATGAAGAATATTGGATATTAAAATTAAATTTTATGGCCAGGCGTGGTGGCTCATGCCTGTGATCCTGGCACTTTGGGAGCCTAAGGTGGGCGGATCACTTGAAGTCAGGAGTTCAAGACCAGCCTGCCCAACATGGCACAACCACATCTCTACCAAAAATATAAAAATTAGCCAGGTGTGGTGGCGCGCACCTGTAATCCCAGCTACTCAAGAGGCTGAGGCAGGACAATTGCTGGAACCCAGGAGACAGAGGTTGCAGTGAGCTGAGATTGTGCCACTGCAGTCTAACCTGGGCAACAGAGTGAGATTCTGTCTCAAAAAAAAAAAGAGAAAAAATAATAAAATTAAATTTTAGGATCAGAGAGGGATATTCTGGTTGATCTACATATAATGCTTTGTATTTTTTATAGCTCTTATATTTTTCAAAGCACTTTATCTGTGTTTTTTCATTGGGAGTTCACAAAAAGCCAATGAGGCAGGGAAGTGTATATTGTATAGACTAAATAGCAGATGGTTTTAAACATAATTTATAACCCCAGTTTCTAATACTTTATATTCAAGGTTTCTTTTTTTCCTGTTTTATATTTTGCATTTTTTAAATAACAAAAACTTTGTTAATGCTTGTTTTGTACAGAATTTGTTATCAGCAACCACAGGGGAGTTGGGGAACAAGGCAGGAATATGAGAAACACAGCATACCTAGTGGAGAGAAGGCAAGAGTCAGTTTCCTTAAGAAATCCAATATTCACAATTGAAGACTGAGTTAGATATAGGATAAGTAATTCCATTTAATTATGGGTTGATTAGCTCAACCCTAAAAAAATAGAGGATTAGACAAAATAATTTCTCAGGTCCTTCTAGATTTTCATGACAATTTAATTATTTTGTTGCGTGATTAGTATTTGCTGAGGTACTGTGAGATGTTCGGGTGCCATTGGTTCTATCGCAGCAAAGTAAAGCAGTGATGCTTGTTGCATGGGGTTAGTTGTAGTCTGAAGATGTGAAGGTCTTCAGGTAGAAGAATCAAGGTTCTTCCAAGTAGGAACATCAGGAATGGAATCTGATACTTCTCTTGGAGGAGAAGGGATTCATAGGTTTGCACGATGTGATTCAGTTCATGAAGAGACTGGAACAGTTGGGTTTTGAGCACATGGGTGACAGTATTAGTTGTGGACAATTTTTATGGTGATTATTTACCTGTAGGACATTGAAGAAGTTGAATAAATGAGGTTTGCTTGGTAGTAGAAGTAGTTAAAGTATATAAGGAGATAGAATATTTTAGCTTTGCAAATTAAGACACGAAGCAGGTGTTTTTTATAAATGCAATGAACTTATAATATAAAGTAAAATCTATATCTGTAACAGGCATGACTTCTTAAAGCAGTGTCTATTCTTTAAGAAGGGAGCCTCTGGCAGAATATGTCTGCAATATTTCCTTGGATTTTTCTCAGTCTTTTACTCTTCATTTTTCCATTTAGAACTGCCCTCATGCTAGGTTGCGAGTATGGTTGCAGAGATGCAGTAGAAGTCTTAATTAAAAATGGTGCTGATTTAAGCTTGCTGGATGCCCTTGGCCATGATAGTTCTTACTATGCAAGAATTGGTGACAATCTGGACATTCTAACCTTGTTGAAGACTGCATCGGAAAATACCAACAAAGGTATCAGCAGTTTTCTGTGACTAGAAAAGTCCACGTTAACAAAGAGCCACTTTCTAAAGACTTAGGTAGCAGAATTACAGTTTATAAGAAGGAAAACATTACTTACTGATAAACAGTGTTGGTTCATCTCCCTCTATAACATGGAAATTTATTTATGTATTTTTTTGGTGAAGAGGGTAAAGCTCCTAACTTTTATACTTACAAAGTTTTAAAGAAAGAATCATTGTTTAAACATGTATATAAAATATTCAGCTGATATTTATCAAATGCCTATGCTATGATTGTTGTGTTTTCTCAAAACAGGAAAATACAGAAAAGCACAATGAATAAAGTTAGTCACGCATTATCACTAAGGAGCCTCTCTTAACATTTTGAGAAATATTCTTCTAGTCATTTCCCATAAACTTGAATTCACCTGTAAATCTGAGTTGCAGCTTACGTTTTTATGTAACACATCTTGAAGGCCTTTTCCTCATAAATATTTTTTCTATAGTATGATTTTTGTTGGCTTATAAGATTCCATTTATTTAAGTTTCATTTAATAAAGCAATTTTCTACATGTAGTGTTTAAGCTATTTATAATTATTCATTAGTATGCAAAGGTTGTGACTGTCCTTATGTATAAATATTTTAGTATATTTTTATTACCCTTTAGTGTCAATTCCTAGAAATTGAATCACTGAGTTTCAGGGCATGCACATTTCATTAAGCTTTTTATCTATGTTGACAAATTGCCTTTTAATTTAGGAACTTTTTAAATTCCTCCCCCTACCTTTTTTTTTTTTTTCAGAGATGGGGTCTGTCTTTGTTGCCCAGGCTAGAGTACAGTAGTGCCATCATAGCTCACTATAGCCTCGAACTCCTGGGCTCAAGCTATCTTCCTGCCTCAGCCTCTTGAGTAGTTGGGACTGTAGGCATGCACCACCATGCCCAGCTAATTTTTTATATTTTTTTGTAGAGATGGGGTCTTGCCATGTTGCCCAGGCTAGTCTTGAACTCCTAGCCTCAAGTGATCCTCCTGCCTCAGCCTCCCAAAGTGCTGGGATTACAGGTGTAAGCCACCATACCCAGCCTAAATAAATTTTCCATTTTTTACCTGCCTCCCCTCCTTAGTTTTTAATGTTACCTACTTGAATGTTGTTATAAAAAACTTGCTAATTTGGTAGGCAAAAATGAGATTTCATTGTTTTAAGCATATGTTTTGGAAATAAAACAAAAAAGTTGTAAGCTCTAGAAGAAACTTTCAAGTTTATTTATTTAATATTGACTCAATTGTATAGTTAGGGAATGCATATCTACCCCCAGTTGACCTACCATTTTGTCGTTTCTCTTTTTCTCTCTTTAAATCTTAGGGAGAGAACTTTGGAAGAAAGGACCATCTTTGCAACAGGTATATCTTAATTTTTAATTTTTAAAAATTGTATGTATTGTACAGTTTAAGTAAAGGGCTTTGAGAAACTAGTTAATTGTTATGCATAGCTCTTCTGAGTTTAAATGCATTCTATCCCTCTTCTCAGTTAATCAAGCCCTTGTAGATTCTGGGTATTTAGATCATGAGGTCCTATTAAGATATTGCCACTTAGCTTGAGACACAGTAGATCTCAATTTCAATGAAGGTACCCAGTGGGAAAGAAATAGCCTCCTGATGTGAGCATTCAACTCTTTCAAGTATTAGACATTGTAACTTGTTAAATGATGAACTGTAGCTTGGTAGATCATAGACAGTTTCCCCCTAGTTTCTCTTAATAACAGAGCAAAATATTTACTCTTATGGGAAAATTCTTTCAGTGTAATAAGAAATGAAGAAAACAGAGTTCTAAACTGATTATATATTGTGATTTCAATGCTACTGTTAGCATTTTTATTTCTTCAGTCTTTTTTTCTCTGTGTGTTTAATTGAGGACTTTACAAAATAACAACACATGAAATAATTCATGCTTTGCACTAATTTTATTATTAAAGTACTGTTTAACCCTGTTTTGATGTCCCACTTTGTGAAATGTCTTATGCTTTCGACTAATCTATTTGTGTTAAGTGGGGTTGGTTTACAGCACTATGGCTCAAAAGCTAGTGTAGGCAGCTTTCCTCTCCTGCTGGCTGTTCCCTTCCAGGCTTTTCTCTAGTGAGAGGAACCTAAGCACTTGCAAACCCTGAAGAGAAAGTAATCAGGTACTTTGAGCAATTCTGATCATCCTGTGTCATTTTTCTACCTCTCACCTCAATCTGAAAGTTACATTAAAAAATTTTGTTACTTTATTTTACTTTTAAGTTCTGGGATACATGTGCTGAACGTGCAGTTTTGTTACATAGATATACATGTGCCATGGTGGTTTGTGCACCTATCATGAAAGTTACATTAAAGCTTGTTTTGCTTTTTAATCCATCTGAATTAATATGTTCATGCATGGGTCATGTCTGTTGATACTTTTCCATCTGGAGCATCTCTTCCAACCTTCTCCTCTGTGCCTCATATAACCTAAGTGTAAGTAGAGTGAAAAAAATGTACACTACTATGTCTGTACTAGCTGTCTCACACAGAACCAGAGAAAAATGATTTCTGAAATATATAGATATTTAAAAAGAATTATTGAATATTAACATGGGAACAGTGCTGTGCTCAATGCTCTAGGAAATATTGAAGTGAATACAGGAGTTAATATTCTACTAGGAACAGAATGACACTGCTCCTAATTACTGTGTTTCCAGCATTTATTGAATAAAGTTGTTAAAAATATGCGGAAAATAGGATTTCTTATACTAAGGCACATGTAATCTCTTTTATCAAGTATCGTTGCAAATGTAAGACTCACTCAGTTGTTTGTTCCACAGATAGCTGTTGAACACTTACAACATGGCAACTACTGTTTTAAGTGCTGGGGATATTGTAGTGTACAAAGTCTCTGCCCTTAGGGAACTCCCAGCTTAGTGAGAGATGAAAAATAAGCACAGGAATATTTAGTATCTTAGCAGATGCTATGAAGAAAAACAAAAGACAGTTAAGGGATGAAGAAGGAGCGGGTGGAGGTCTGTGGGAGACGCCTCACAGGCCAAGGGAAGGGCAGGTGCCCAGCCCCTAATGAGGGCGCAGGGTAGACATGTCCATGAGGCGGGAGCAGGTTTGACATGCCCATGGGGCAGCAGCAGACAAGTGTGACAGGAGCGATGTGCCCATCATGGAGGAGGGAGCAGAAGAGACTGCTAAAGTAACAAAGTACGAGGTTAGGAAGGGCTTTGTATGTTAAGGACTTTGGATATGTATCCACCAATAACTACCAGATGGCAGAAGGCAGGATGTGTGTACCCCAATCAGTGGAGCCAGAGGTGCAAGAGAGGTTCTTGTAGTGTGCTCATAGCAAGACTTGTCAGGAAGGTGGATCTTTAATTAAGGATGGGATTGATACAGTATGTCTGAGCTGGAATATAGTGGAGGCAGTAGGTGAGGATTCTGAAGTGAAGGCTGGGAATGAAAGTGGTATGGTCAGGTGAGCTGTGAGAAGATGTCAGATCCCACTTGAAGAACAGCCCTTTGGTAGAAGGAATGAGGCTAGAAACATAGGGCCAAATTGTGGATATAGAATATTTTTTAAATGGGACTTGTTCTTCTAGCTCTAGGTCCAGACCCACTCGAATGATAGTTTAAAAACATGATCAAGCAAAACTAAACAAATAATATAAAACGTGAAAAAATTAGCTCGAAGAATTGAAGTAGTAGTTTTTTTTTTAATAATCAGAAAGGAAGAAAGAAATAGCTTTCTACATTAGCTATTGTAGATATTTAAAGATCATTTGTGGTTTTTTTTTAAAGGGGGGTTATTTGTTCTTGTTTAATAATCATTTTGTGTTTTTGTTAAAGCAAATCTCTAAGCTGGAATAAAGTTGCAAAGCAGTAAGTTACAAAAACAGAACATATACCCAACCAAGTTGTTTAGAGACCTTTTTATATAGCTGGGTCAGAAGACTATCTCTTCTTTACCATACCTCTTGATATTTTATTTAGGCGGTGCTCAGAGAAGTAAATAATTTCTGTATTGTCTTTCAAAATTAATAGACTTCCCCTTCCTCCTCCTTTGTTTTTAAAATTGAGTTCTTTTAGGAGTAGTTGGCAATGCAGTGCTTTATAGCCCAACTTTTGTTATGCGCTTATTACAAATTCTCCTTTTTAAAATTTTGTGACTTTAGTTAAAATAAATCCTTAGTAATAAATATTTTAAAATTTGTTATTATTTAGTATTTTTAAGTAAATTATCCTTGATTTGTTTAAAACATAGCCTTAAAGGTGCTTTCCATTTTGGGGTTTTAAATAGAAATACTGCCACCTTGTGTTTTATGCAGCAAAATTTAATGTTGGATAAACTGAAAATCACTAATTGGGTATATTGCCAATTGAGGAAAATACACTTTTCTGTATTCTCACACTTGCTGTCCTGTGTTTCCTTATGTTTTACCAAAGCGAAATTTGACACACATGCAAGATGAAGTAAATGTGAAGTCATATCAGAGGGAGCATCAAAATATTCAGGTAAAAAGAAAAAAATATGATATCTTCCTTTAAAAAGAATTCCAGTATTTGTAGTGGGATTGAGAGAGAAGAGAGGAAGCAAGAGAGTGGGTGAAATGAGTGGGGCAACAAAAGGGAAGCTTGTTAAAATTGTGATTCTCTTTTTTCTTCCCTAATCTCCCATTTTTTTTTTTTTTTTTTTTTTTTGAGAGAGTCTCACTCGGTTCCCCAGGCTGGAGTGCGATGGCATGGTGTTGGCTTACTGCAACCTCCACCTCCTGGGACCATGTGATTCTCCCGTCTCACCCTCCCGAGTAGCTGGGACCATAGGCATGTGCCACCACACTCGGCTAGTTTTTGCATTTTTAGTAGAGACGGGGTTTTACAATGTTGGCAAAGTAAAAACTCCTAACCTCCTGATCCGCCCGCCTCAGCCTCCCAGAGTGCTGGGATTACAGACATGAGCCACTGCACCCAGCTGATGCCTAATCTCTTCTTAAAGAATTGACTTTTGTTATCAGTGTTTGGGTCTAGTATTGTAAAATTAAATTATGTATATAACATGAAGTATGGTGTAGGAAGTATTGTTTTGATATATATTAGAAGAAGCAACTTTATATAACTATTTGATTTTAAATGTGTCTGTTTTGTGATATAAACCATACATTTGTGTTTATTTAGGAAAATTATATCAATAAAGATGATTAATGTAAATTAAATTTGAATTTTTTCTTAAAGTATTTTCTATTTTGATTAAGAAAAATAATTTTGTTTAACTACATAGTACTTTTTACCTTTTATATTGGTCAAAGTTTTCAAAAAATATGCAGATTATTTTAGATGAAGAACCCATAATTAGTTTATTTTATGACTGAAACACCATTAAATGATAAATTGAATAGCTGTTTTAAATATAATAAAGCAAAAGCATTTTATTTGGGTTTTCTTAGTTTACTATGCAGTGTAAGAAAATGAACTATGTCCTTAAATTGGAGTCTTTATCTTTTACCAGAGCACTGAAAATGATGATTAGTTCGTCAAAAGCATTAGAAGATTCTCATAAACTTGGGAGGTCTTAAGCAAAAGTTAAAATGGCATATTATTTTGCTCTTTACTATATCTAAGTGTTTTTTTTCTTTATTGGAATGATGATGATTTTCCCTCTTGTAGTCTATACTCATATTTATTAGCTATCATACGATAGTAACTTTCTATTTTATTTTTGATCTGTAGATTTTAAATCATTGGAGTATCATTGAAATTATTGTATCTTTGTACGTAGTGTTTTACATATGTATGTACCTGTATGTGATAGTTAACTGCTTTTAAAAATTTCTTCTATAAGAATTTGCTCTTTTAAGATTGGCGTGGCACCTTATTATCTTTATTATTTAAGGGTTTGGAGATTGAAAATGAAGATTTGAAAGAGAGGTTGAGAAAAATGCAGCAAGAACAAAGAATACTTTTGGATAAAGTCAATGGTTTACAGTTACAACTGAATGAGGTAAATAACTCTGCATAATAAAAAAAGATCAAAAACTGTCTTATTACATCATCAATAGCCAATTGTTAATGATTGTGTTAAAGAAGGTAAAATTAGGTTATTGCACTTCAGAGGAGTTAAATCTTACTGAAGACAAGGCTTTTTACATGAAATTTAAAATTTTAAATTTAAAGTAGCATAAGCTAACAAGTAACGAGAGTATAAAGAATGTTCAGGGAAGTGAAGAGAGATCATTGCGGGCTGCCGCGTCTGAGGGGGCACTTCCTGTGGGAGATGATACTTCTGTTGAATTTTGAAGGAAGTAAGAGGGAATCAGAGGGCATGCCAGAGAATATTGTAATGAGCAAAATCACAGAAGTGGTGACCTGTGATATATTCCTTGTTGTATAAAAAATTGGAAATACAAGAAATATTCATAAATCATTCTTTTTAGAGGGAAAGTGGAATATATATGAAATCTAGTGTATCAGTTCACTCTTTATACATTTTATTAGGCACAGGACATCACAGGTGAAATCCTTTGTGATATTTACATTTCAGAAGTAAGAAGTAAATGCATGATTGGTACAGCTGTGTCCTTGTGATTCTAATTTTTGGCATCACTTTAATATCTTGCTATCTGTGTTAGATTTTCCTAAAATTGAACATATGCAAAAACAAAAGGCTGAACTATAGTTAGGGCCATGGGATTAGAGAGGAAAGAGCAGACAGAAGATATGAGGAGGAAGAACAAGTAGAACTTGGTGGTTGATAGGTTCTCAAGAGAATCAAAAGTGCTCCTGAACCTGGATAGTGAGAAGAATGAATGACAGCTCATACAATAGAATTGGTAGTACATAATTTTCTTCTCATATCCTTGGCCCCAATCTTAAAGACATGTGCCAATCTTTTATTTAAAAGATCTTTGCCAAGTTCATGCCTTTTAAAATAAGCTTTTAAGAATTAAAATATTTTGTGTTCTTTTGAAATTTAGGAAGTTATGGTTGCTGATGATCTGGAAAGTGAGGTAGGATGACATTTTATTTTAAAGCCATAAAAATGTTTTATGAATTGAAGATGATTAGTAGTAAAAGTTTAAGTCCTGAATTGAGATAGAGACCAGGATTCTATTTGTGGTTTATTATTTAAAGGGAAATTGAAAATCTATACATGACTAAAAAAGAATGTTTTGAATATAGTGGCGTAGATTATTGTAGGCATTTTGTTGTTATTGCCTCTGAAAATCTTACTTTCTATGAAACTTGTCCTGAAAATAATGTAAAATTCTAAATATAAAGAAAATGTCTGAAAACATTAAGATTGAAAACAAACACCAGAGATTTGAATTTTTCATGATTTTGTTTATAGATATTTTATGTTTCATTAGTATATTTGTAGAAATTATCAACTCTACTAGTAGTTAAAATTCACCAGGTTGGAGAATTCATTAACTCCAGTCCTCAGTGTAATTCCCATTCATGTTTTCTAAAACACATTTTTAACCCAATTTCAACCACAGGGTGATTTTACTCTGTTTCCTCTGTTCATTTCAGAGAGAAAAGCTGAAGTCCCTTTTGGCAGTTAAAGAAAAGCAACATGAAGAAAGCTTAAGAACGATTGAGGCTCTGAAAAATAGATTTAAATATTTTGAGGTACAGAAAGGTTAAATTATTTCCTATAATTCACAATGGCTAATGGTAAGGAGCTTGGCATCAGACTTGAATTTGATTTATAAATCTCTTTTTTATAGTGTGACCTTGGGCTGCTTATTTAAAGTCTTTGAACTTGTTGCCTCTTTGGTAAAATTGGGATGATTGTCTCTTTTTCCACATAGTTATAAAGGTTAAGTGAGATCATTTAAATTGACTAGCACGTAATTGACATTTAGTTTCATTCCAGTTTCTCTTCATTGTCCATCCTTACCTTTTTGAAACATCATATTTTCACCTATACATTTACAATGAGTATAATGATAAAAAGCATTCATATAAATGAATAATGATATGTCCAGGATTATCTCAGAAAGGATTTGTCACTGGGCATCACTGAAGGTGGCTGATTCAGCATAAATCTTTTATCTTTATTGGTGAATACAGCCCCAAAGTACACTAAAAAAAGTGTCTTAGTCCATTTGTGCTGCTCCAATAGAATACAGAAAATTTATGAAGAACAAATTTATTTCTCACAGTTCTGGAGGCTGGAAAGTCCAAGATGAAGGCTCTGGCATTCATGTCTGGTGAGGGCCTTCTTGCTGCATTCTCACCTGGCAGAAGGCAAAAGGCAAAAAGGGGCCTAAGTGAAGACCTCATGACTTAAGCACTTTGCAAAAGGCCCCACCTGTTAATATCAGCACAGTGGGAATTAAGTTTCAACATATTTTCGCAGACATTCAGGCCATAGCAAAAATAATATTTTTCTTTGTAAATAAAAAACTATGTGTGCATTATGAAAAATTACATAAGACATGTTGTATGGGCCTCGCAGACATAATGTTGCATGGAAGAAATCAGACACACAGAGTACATCCTGCACAATTCTATTTTTATGAAGTTCAAAAGTAGATAAAACTAATCTGTGATATTAGATATTAGTTATTAGAATAGAGGCCACCCTTTGGTTGGTTACTGAGTAAGGTTGCGTTTGAAGAAACTTCTGGGGTCCTGGAAATGTTCTATATCTTAATCTGGGTTGTGTATAATTACAAAAGGTATGTATGTGCAAAAATTCATTGTATTGTACATATTTAATATATGTGCATATTTATGTGACTGAATTTTCAAGATTATTCAGAAACATGCTTTTATAACCCAAAGAATGATGTAGCTATAGTGGCTTCTATTTTTTCACATTTGAAGACTCTTTTTTAGGTTAATTTTGGTGATTGCTAATATTTTTGTAGCACTGACCATGTACTTTGCATTCTTGACATACATCATAAAACAAATCAACTCTATGTGACAAGTTTTATTGTTACCTGACTTCATAGGTAAGGAGGCTGAGGCACGGAGAGGTTTACCCATGAGGATTTCACAAATATTAAGTGGCAGGGTCAGGACTTGAACCCAAGCATCTGGCTCCTTTGTGCTTTCAACTACATTGCTAGTTTTAATTACACTTAGAATTACTTGAATGAGAAAATTTAGGAGTATATACGAGTCCTTTTTAGTATTCGTCAAAGTTTGACACCTATAATTTGGGTACTATTTATGTACATACTTCTTTTAGGAGCTAGACTTACTGCATGTCTTAAGTGTAAGATGTAGGCGGGGTGCAGTGTCTCATTCCTGTACTCCCTGCCACCATGCCTAGCTAATTTTTTTGTGTTTTTAATAGAGATGGGGTTTCACTATGTTGGCCAGGCTGGTCTTGAACTCCTGACTTCAGGTGATCCATCTGCCTCAGCCTCCCAAAGTGCTGGAATTACAGGCGTGAGCTACCACGTCCAGCTTGTTTTTGTAATTTTTGTAGAGACAGGGTCTTGCCATGTTGCCTAGGCTGGTGTTGAACTCCTGGGTTCAAGTGATCTGCCCTTCTCAGCCTTCCAAAGTGCTGAGATTATAGGTGTGAGCCACTGCGCCTGGCCTATTCTTACTCATGAAGTGTAATATTTTAATTTATATGTTAGATTCTTTGTATTTGACTTACTTAGGAAAAGGAGCAACCCAGTCTATTTTGATTCACCGTATCTGGAGTTTCTCTATTATTTCCTAACTAATGGATTGAGGGATTTATTACTATGTGTAGGTCTCTCTGCCTCAGTTTTATTTCCTGCTCTCTTTCTCCTTTTACTTTCAAAATACTTGGTATTTTATAAACTCTGAAAGAAGGAGTTATGTTGATATTTCATTGTCAATGAGGTAGCGTTTCCGCTTCCTACCGTGGTAAAGTAAAATGAGTTATTGATGTGAATGTAGCCACTTCCTTCCTTTTGAGGTAAAGCAGTAGCAAACAGTAGGTTTTGAAAGCTATTTCAGTTCTTTTAGGGCTTACATTTTTTTCTTTTGAGCAATAAAGTTTTTCCTTAAAACATTTGGCTGCTTTTATTAAAATACTTGGTGAAGTAGTTTATTCCCAACTGATCTCTCTCAGTCGCTAGTGCTGTGTCTTTTTGTGGGTTTGAGTAGAATAATGCTCAGGAGAAACAAGGAATGTCAAAAATGTGGTTTTAAAGACTGCATCATTTACAGCTAAAACAGATACAGAATTTAACAAAATGAGGCAGCATTCCCCCTAAAATGTTTTAATTTATGCTTCTGATTTCAGAGTGATCATTTAGGATCAGGAAGTCATTTCAGTAACCGTAAGTATGAGTATGGATTATCATTATAGTTCACCTAGTTCAAGCAAAGAAGAATGTTTATTCATATTTGTTTAACTGTAAAAGATATTCCTGCTGTTAAACTTCAACATATGGAACTAGGAAGATGTTAAGATGACTACTGTAACCGCTAACATATATTCTGATAATTACTGAAGCTCTGATTTTCCTTAGATACCTGTATTTTAAAATCGTATATTGTATGAATTACCAAATTTGCCTTGTTGATTAGCAGACATAGACATTTGTCCTGTGATATTTGGGGTTCATTTTTTATGGAAAGAACATAAACATAGTTTTCTAATTTGAAGCAATCAGTCTCAATCCAGGTAGCCATTTAAAAATTACATGTTCAATAAACAATTAGGAATTATTTTTAGACTATACACAATCTTCTTTATTCTGCAATGTTAAACAATTTCTCTAGAAAATCTATTTTTGTTTATTTCCTAGTGACCATTAAACTATCCTCTTGTACAACAGTAATATTTATGCTATCATACATGTTTTATTATCATGTAGCCTAGTTAGTTTAATGGTCTTAGATGTTTCCGAAATCTTACTTAGTGATTCTGCCGAGACAGAGCATAGAAAAAAGTAAGCAAAAAAAACCTTAGTATCAATTGTGCAGTAGACTCTGTAGGTACTTCTCTTTTATGTTTATAGAAATAATAACAGGGAAAATGGGTATTTTAGAATGAGGATTCTTTTATGTTGTACCTTCTGCCTCTCTTTTATTTGAATAATAAAGGAAGTAACGTCAAATTGATGCTTAGCCTACTTTTGTGTGGATATTTAAGTTAAAATGTCATTTATTTGCATTTATTTAGGAAAAGAAGATATGCTTCTTAAACAGGGTCAGATGTATATGGCAGACTCACAGGTAATAAGTGTCTTTATTTTAAAAATCATTTAAAGAAAATTTCTGTGCCTTTATAGAAAGAGGAGAAAGGAACATTGTATATATTAAGCATATATTCATAAAGTGAGATTTTCATTATCAAAAAATATTGGTTCTGCTTTCTTGAGTTTAATAAAAACAGATATTGCTGTTTCTGGTGCCCTCTAGAGTGTTTTTGATGATAGTGGTTATAGTAAGAGATTTGAATTACAATTTCATTGCATTTGATGCTAAGCTTCTGTTCATTAACAGTGATCAGTTATCTCTTCATATTTACCTATATAAAAGGGAAGATAGATATGAATAATTCAAAAGTAATTTGTTTTGGATTTGAAATATATTTTCCCTGACAACTAAATATATTATATTTTGGAAATTTACCTTGAAATACAGAAAACTTCCAGGAGGTAGAGTGTAGTCTGATTTTCTTACCTGCTTTTCTGCTCCTCGCTTCACATTTCATTAGATACAGGGTTTGCCTTTCTAGCATTTTCTGTGGACTGCAGAACTGGTAAATATCTGGGCTTTTAAAGACATTTCTTACATATCTTCATTTGTAGGTAGAGTGAGTTAGCCTACATGCCTCAGATCTCTTTAAGATGGAAAAATCTAAGATTCTAAATTAGGAGAGTGGTTATCAGCTTGACCAGTAATTAAAAAGATTAGATAAATATTTGATTATGGTGAAACAAGTGTGGAAGTTGTGAAGCTATGTAAGTAATTCTTCATAAATTATAGTAGTCTTAGTTTAAAGATAATTGATAAGTTGAAAGATAATTTAGAAGCAGACGGAGGCTGGGAAATTATTCCATGTTGTCAGTTTTTTTTCCTCTTGATTCAGGGGAAAGGCAGTTCAGATTTAACTGACAGTGAATCTGTAGGGGTCTGCAGCAAGCTCTGTCCTTGCTTCATAAGAGGCAAGGATTTGGCTGAAGGGCAGAAGTAGGTTTAAGGCAGAGGGAGAGACCAAGGGAAGTTTTAGGGCAGGAGTGAGTTTATTAAAAAGTGTTAGAGCAGGAACAAAAAGAAGCAAAGTACACTTGAAAGAAGACCAAGTGGGTGGCTTGAGAGATCCCAGTGCCCTGTTCAGCCCTTAGCTTGGGATTTTTATACAGTGGCTTGGTTTGGGGGTTTGCATTTCTCCTCCCTTGATTCTTCTCTTGGGGCAGGCTATCTGCATGCATAGTGACCTGTCGGCACTTAGGAGGGGCCACATGTGTAGTGCCTTTGCTAAGGTTGTACACATGCTCTCTAGAGACTATTTTCCTTGACCAGTCAGATGCCCCCAGAAGAAGGTCATACATCCACCATTTTACCTCTTAGTTCACATGCTTGAGCCAATTCATCCAGCTCCTGAGATCTTATCGGAAAGCTGCCAGTCACCAGCTCCAGGTGTTTTCTATCTATTGGGAGACTCTTCTGGTTCTGGCTGTGACCAGTCATTCTCTTGACAACTTTAATAACTAGCTGGGTTTATTTTGGTGGTATTTTTATAATTTAAAGAATATTCTGTTGGAATTAACAGCAAAGATATGCAGAAGTAAAAAATCTTATTAGTACTTAATCTATAATTCTATGAAATTATCTGCAAATTAAAAATTACAGTACTTGTTTTTATTGAAGGATACAATGGTTTTCTTCAGAATTTGAAGTTCTAAGCACATTATGTGACATAAAACAGAAATAATAAATATGTTTTGATAAAGTTGATGGTTTTCATATGTGGGTAGGTATTATAAATGGGGAAAGAAAGACAAAATAGCACCCAGTGACCATGGTCATTTTTCCTTTGTTCTTCCTGGAATAGACTTAAGTGAAGAGAACTCTCAATATGTTGTGACTATCTTAAGGAAATCATATCCAGAACTGTTTTTCTTACCACAGAAATCAACATTTGATATTTTTCCGTCGTACTACCTCATCTGAAAACCCTTTGACTCCCGATGATCTGCAAACTTTCCATAAGTTTGGTGAAAAAGTATAGTAAATATCTCATTTAGGCTTTTGTGATTGATGTCTTTTTTTTTCTTTTTAGTGTACTTCCCCAGGTATACCAGCCCATGTGCAAAGCAGATCTATGTTAAGACCTCTGGAGCTATCTTTATCCAGTCCAACATCATACTCTGAAAATGAAATTTTAAGGAAAGAGTTAGACACAATGCGAACTTTCTGTGAGTCAGCAAAACAAGACCGACTGAAGCTCCAAAATGAACTGGCACACAAAGTGGCAGAATGCAAAGCATTAGCGTTAGAATGTGAAAGGGTCAAGGAGGATTCAGATGAACAGATAAAGCAATTAGAAGATGCATTAAAAGATGTACAGAAGAGGATGTATGAATCAGAAGGTAAAGTTAAACAAATGCAGACCCACTTTCTTGCCCTTAAAGAACACTTAACAAGTGAAGCAGCTACAGGGAATCACAGACTAACCGAGGAACTAAAGGATCAGTTGAAAGACATGAAAGCAAAATATGAAGGTGCTTCAGCAGAAGTGGGGAAATTAAGAAACCAAATCAAACAAAATGAGATGATAGTAGAAGAGTTTAAGAGGGATGAAGGCAAGCTGATAGAAGAAAATAAGCGATTGCAGAAGGAACTCAGTATGTGTGAAATGGAGCGAGAGAAGAAAGGAAGAAAGGTCGCAGAGATGGAAGGCCAGGCAAAAGAATTGTTAGCAAAGTTGGCCCTTTCCATTCCAGCTGAAAAATTTGAAAACATGAAGAGCTCATTATCAAATGAAGTGAATGAGAAAGCAAAAAAATTAGCAGACATGGAAAGAGAATATGAAAAATCACTTAGTGAAATTAGACAGTTAAAGAGAGAACTTGAGAATGCTAAGGCTAAGCTTGCTCAGCATGTCAAACTGGAGGAACATGAACAGGTTAAGAGCAGATTAGAGCAGAAATCAGGAGAACTTGGGAAGAAGATCACCGAGTTGACATTGAAAAATCAGATACTACAAAAGGAAATTGAAAAAGTTTATCTGGATAATAAGCTCCTTAAGGAGCAAGCACATAACTTAACAATTGAAATGAAAAATCATTATGTTCCTTTAAAACTAAATGAAGATATGAAAAAGTCACATAATGCAATTATTGATGATCTTAATAGAAAGCTTTTAGATGTAACACAAAAATATACAGAAAAGAAATTGGAAATGGAGAAATTGCTACTGGAAAATGACAGCTTAAGTAAGAATGTGAGTCGCCTAGAAACTGTGTTTGTACCTCCTGAGAAACATGAAAAAGAGGTAACAGCTCTGAAATCCAATATTGTCGAAGTTAAGAAACAGCTGTCTGAACTTAAGAAAAAATGTGGCGAAGACCAGGAGAAAATACATGCTCTCATGTCTGAAAACACTAACTTGAAGAAGATGATGAATAATCAGTATGTGCCAGTTAAAACCCATGAAGAAATTAAAACAACACTGAATAACACGTTAGATAAAACTAACAGAGAATTATTAGATATGAAGAAAAAATATGAAGATATAAATCAGGAATTTATAAAACTAAAAGATAAGAATGAAATATTAAAAAGAAACCTGGAAAACACTCAGAACCAAATAAAAGCTGAGTACATCAGCCTGGCAGAGCACAAGGCAAAGATGAGCTCACTAAGTCAGGGCATGAGAAAGGTGCAGGATAGTAATGCTGAAATCCTGGCCAACTACAGAAAAGGCCAAGAAGAGATTGTGACACTGCATGCCGAAATTAAAGCCCAGAAGAAGGAGCTCGACACAATACAAGAATGCATTAAAGTAAAATATGCACCAATTGTCAGCTTTGAGGAGTGTGAGAGAAAATTTAAAGCAACAGAGAAAGAACTAAAAGATCAGTTATCAGAGCAGACACAGAAGTATAGTGTCAGTGAAGAAGAAGCCAAGAAAAACAAGCAAGAGAATGACAAGTTAAAGAAGGAGATTTTTACCCTTCAGAAAGATTTGAGGGATAAGACGGTTCTCATTGAGAAGTCTCATGAAATGGAAAGAGCATTAAGCAGAAAAACAGAAGAGCTAAACAAACAGTTAAAAGACTTGTCACAGAAATACACAGAAGTAAAGAATGTGAAAGAGAAGCTAGCAGAAGAAAATGCCAAACAGGCTTCTGAGATACTTGCAGTGCAAAATCTTTTGCAAAAGCAACATGTCCCATTGGAACAGGTTGAGGCTCTGAAAAAATCTCTTAATGGCACAATTGAGAATCTAAAGGAAGAACTGAAGAACATGCACAGGTGTTATGAGAAAGAGCAGCAGACAGTGACCAAACTGCATCAGTTGTTGGAGAATCAAAAGAACTCTTCTGTGCCCCTGGCAGAGCATTTACAGATTAAAGAAGCATTTGAGAAAGAAGTTGGAATCATAAAAGCTAGCTTGAAAGAAAAGGAAGAAGAAAGCCAAAACAAAATGGAAGAAGTCTCCAAACTTCAGTCTGAGGTTCAGAATACTAAACAAGCATTAAAAAAGTTAGAGACTAGAGAGGTAGTTGATTTGTCTAAATATAAAGCAACAAAAAGCGATTTGGAGACACAGATTTCCAGCTTAAATGAAAAATTGGCCAATCTGAATAGAAAGTATGAGGAAGTATGTGAGGAAGTTTTGCATGCCAAAAAGAAGGAAATATCTGCAAAAGATGAGAAGGAATTGCTACATTTCAGCATTGAACAAGAAATCAAGGATCAGAAGGAACGATGTGATAAGTCCTTAACAACAATCACAGAGTTACAAAGAAGAATACAAGAATCTGCTAAACAAATAGAAGCAAAAGATAATAAGGTAGGTGCAAAGTAGTCTGTCTGCATGGCTAATGTGTTGGAACCCCAGAGCAGCACTGGCAGAGTCGAAAGAGAATAGGACTCTACCACAGAATCTCACAGGGAACTATACACAGGTATTAACAAAGTGACCGGGCTGTGCTACACTTTCCCAGTTAAATTCTGAAGCCCATAAATGTATGAAAAGGTTAAAAAACAAACAAACAAACAAATTAGACACACCCTTTCCAGTCTGGCAACTTGTGTGCAAAAATTCTGAATCGTAAAAAATGAAGTAACATAAACAAAAATCAAAAGCATTTTTCCTTCTGTTTCTTTAGCTGTTCTAGCCAAGAATTGAGGAACAGCGGGGAGACTTAAGGTTCATAGATGGAGAGTCAAAAGTCAGTGGGTTTGTGGCATGTGAAAGATGGGGAAGGGGATGGTGGGGAAGCTCTCTTCCTGGGCTGCAAGAAACCAAGCACTCTGGGGAGCATCCAGAGTTGATCTTGGCAGCCACCGTTGTAAACTGAGCCCTCCAATTTATTTTATGTTCGGTTGCTCATGTCTTTCTACAGACTAGTTTCCTCACCCAGAATGTCCTTTTCCTCCTTTTACTGAGTTGAATCCTATACATTCTTTAACATGTTATCCTCCTTCCTAAAGCCCTCACTGTCCAATCTAGCCTATAGTAAATAGTTCGCCCTCCAAGATGCATGTTTGGTTGTGGCTTTGCCATCCATTTAAAACATTTATATTACCTTGTTAGAATTATGTGATTGATCTTCCCAATCAGTTTTTAAGAGGAGGGTTTATAACTTAACTTTCCATCTTATCTTTCATTCTCAACAATATTTTTGAAACTGATATTGCATTAAGCTTGTACTATGGAGATGAAATATGAAGATTGACTGCAGTTTTATCAATCAACATGTAATGATTAAATGCCTTCTGCATATCATGTGCTGGAGATACAGTTGAGTAAACACAGACACAGACTGCCCTCCCCAGTGAGAGTACTTGTACGTACTATCCTCTGGCACACCACCTCCATGATTGATAATTTAAGTGTGCTAAGCTTGTTCGGAAGGTAGTTACGGTATATATAGTAATATATAATTATAAGCACTAATTAATAGCTACTTGTCATTTATTGAGCATGTTACTTATAATTGCATTTGATTGCCTTTTTTTTTCCTATTATTATTTTTCAATAAAAAATTTTGTGGGGGAAGGGATGGAGTTATATTGCCCAGGCTGGTCTTGAATTCCTGAGTTTAAACAATCCTCCTGCCTTGGCTTTCCAAAGTGTTGGGATCATAGGTGTGAGCCACTGTGCCCAACCTGATTTTCTTCACTCTGAAAGATTATCCAGCTTTCACCAATGTGGAATCTAAGGCTCAGAAAAGTGAAGGAAATTAGCCACATTCTCATAAGTCAACTCTGTCTGACTTTAAAGTAGGGGGGGAAAAGCTATGTTTCTAGGGACTTCCTATAAACAGCCACCTTGTTGTTTGTTTTTTTTTTTTTCCCTCGACAACAAAGTGGTCTTAAATAATACAACTCTTGGAAGGTACAAGAAACATGTTAATTCTAGACTTACATGGGCTACACCCTTTTAGTTTTTACACTTCATTGCAGGGAATCCCCCTTCCCTTCCTGTGTTCCAGAAGTTACCTGGAAAATAGTTCATATGCCTTCATAGATGCTTATATATTATCTAAAAGTAAGAACACTAACTTTATACTCACATCTTAGGATATATGTAATATTTATTCTTAATTTGGTATTGCTTTTGTACAGAATTTCTGGAAAGGAATTTAATTATAAATTACATATTGATAACAGTCTTGGCAATATTCATACCTCAGTTTTCTGGTGTATAAAGATAAAGCTTGTGTCTCCAGAAAGGAATGATTTCTGTACAGAGATGTTCATTATACATGAATAAGTGAATAATATGTTTCTCCCACAACTTTTTTTTTTAAAGATAACTGAATTGCTTAATGATGTGGAAAGACTAAAACAGGCACTCAATGGCCTTTCCCAGCTCACCTACACAAGTGGGAACCCCACCAAGAGACAGAGCCAGCTGATTGACACTCTGCAACACCAAGTGAAATCTCTGCAGCAACAGCTGGCTGTGAGTAACCAGACACATGGGTCTTTGTGTGAATATGTGCTGGTTCCCTGTAGTTAGTTTGTAAGGCTAATTTAGAAATTAAGTGTAGCTGTGTTCATATCCAAGAATGTAATTGTTTTTATATACCAAAAGTTACCTACACTGGTGGTGTAATAATACGTATTGGATGACTACTGTATAGCAGGCATGATATTAAACATTTTACATACCTTATCTGTAAACTTTATCTTCATCACAATCCCACAAAACAGGTTTATTTCCTCCATTTGATTCTTAAGGAAACAAAGAGTACAACACTTGATGCCTGGGGTCATTCAGCTCGGGTATAAATCTGAAACTGGCTGACTCCAAATCTAGCATCTTTCTCACTGCAGTGTACCCTCTAAAATATTGGTCCCACTAAACTAACGGAGGTTTTAAAATAATCTTTTATCTTTGTGAATAAAGAGGCATTCCTATGGTTTTATACCTTGCATAGAAGGATAAGTGCCTGGATTTAGAAGCTTAAATTGGAAGCTGTGGTCTAAGTCCTGCCACTTATAAGGAAGTGACAAGGAACATTCCCTTTAACCCTTGGTTTTCTCATCTAGAAAATAGAATAATAACTTATTACTTGCTTGTCTGCATTTTTTAAAGATGAGTTCTTGCTATATTGCTTATTAGGCTGGTCTCCCGTGGGGTCTTACTGTAGGCTGATCTGGGCTGAAGTGATCCGATTGCCTCAGCTTCCTGAGTATCTGGGACTATATTTTTAATTGAATGCACTAATACACATTGAAATGCTAAGTAAAATGGTCCAATCACATGTAAATTGTTGCCAGTGTTTTCCTATTTCATAGAATTGTTTATGAGTTTTTTTTTTAATACAAGAAAGGTTTGTTTTTTTTTTTAGTGTTTATTTTTTAACACTGTAGGCCTACAGATGAAGGATGGCAAATTGTGGATTTGGATCTTATCCAAGGAGTGTAGCGTCCCTTTAATAACTGGAAATATTTGTTTATTGTTTTTTATGTTCATGACGGTGTGCTAAGCAGGGATGAAGAAAGCATGCCATTGCTGTCCCCACGGAGTTGTGGGTAGAGAGGCAAAATATAGATCCATAAAAAGTGAAATGACAAGATGAGAGATGTCAAATATAGAATTGAGAATGCAGATTCTAAGTGATAGGGGTTTCCAGGAAGGAAAGATTAGTGGTGTGGTGGAAGCTAGTTTTAAAGAAGGGAGTACATGGCTTGAACTTGTAAAGTAGATGCTACTTTGGTAGGTGAAAGGAAAGTAGAGGCTCTTCCTCCAAAGAAAATAGGGTAAAAAAAGACATGGAAGTGGAATACAAGTGGCATGGCCAGAGGGCAGTAAAAGGCCTGCCTGTAGAGTAGTCCCCCTCTTATCCACTGAGGGTATGTTCCAAGACCCCCAGTGGGTGCCTGAAATCATGGATAGGACCTGCTGAACCCTATATATGCTGTGTTTTTCCCCCATTTTTACATACCTGTGATAAAGTGTAATTTAGAAATTGGGCACAGTAAGAGATTAATAACAACAACATCATAAAATAGAACAATGATAACAATATGTCATAATAAAAGTAATGTGAATGCAACTTCTCTGTGTATCTCAAACTGAAATAGAGAAAGTGAAACCACCGATCGCAAAACTCCCGATAAGAGGGGATTGCCGTACTTGAGAGTGAATGTTTGAAGCCAAACTAGAAGCCATTGAGAACAAAACTGATGCATTTGGATTCTCTCTTGTATGTAAAGGAGTATCACTCAAGGCTTTCAAGCCAAAAGTGATGTGAGGAAAGAGCTACCTTAGTCTCAGAGGCATGATAAGGAATACAGTGTGGAGATAGTAAGACAGGATAGGAAGTGTTTGCAATAATCCAAACGTGTGGTAAGTGTCTGCAGAAGTTCATGGCACTAGATGTGAACTAAAGCAATAATTTCATGTTACTTAAGGAAAGTAGCATTGCTGTCGTTATGAATGTTCCCACGTATTCATTAGAGAAGTTTATATTGTTATGTTTTGGAATTATGTATCTGGTAGGTCCGAGGCAGTCTGTTGTTAGAAGCAGCAGGAGTGCCTTAATAATAATGGTAGTTTTGTAGCATGAGGCCTGAGCATTGTCCAGACTTCAGAAATGTGAACGCCGATATTCAGATCTGCTCATCTTTTCACATTTCTAGGATGCTGACAGACAGCACCAAGAAGTAATTGCAATTTATCGGACACACCTTCTTAGTGCTGCACAGGTAAAGAACTACTTCTCCTTTGGAAAGAATATTGCTTTAGAGATAATAATTTTTTATTTTCAAATAAATTTATGTGAAAGTAACTGATGTTTAAAGTAGCTGCACCCCATATCCTTACTTTAATTATGTTTCTTTTAATCATGGTTTGTGCATCTCCAGAAAAAATTTACAACGCTATATGGCAACACAACATCTTAAATTTAGTGCTGTCTCCATCTGCTTGTCACTCAGTTTATAGACAGTTTGGTAACATGTGCTGGCCGCACACGTTAATGGTGTTGCTAGCTGGAGACGGTGCCTGGACATCCACACGTGGCTGTCATCTAAAAGGAGAGTGGGAACGACTTTGAATTCTAGAAAAGCACAAAAGTGACAAGCAGGGTGTTGTGTGTAGGATTGTAATAATCAAAGAAAAAGTGATCTGTTAAGAGAGAATTGATAATAGTTATTTACCAAGCCTTAATTTGGCTTGGTAAAGCCAAGGAATAATTAAGGAAGAATATTATGAATTGCCATTTTTAGGGGGGTACTGAGAAAGTTATGGTTAAAAAAACATACTAAGAAGTGATTAGCATATAAAGGATACTCTTCTTAATTTCCTGTAGAAACCCCATGAGCTGCATCTCCAAAATTCTCAGAATAGATTTTTCAGGAAGAAACTGTACTAAAAGAAACAAATTTTAGAATGACAGGAGAGAGAGCATGGGAATTATTTGGATTTGAAGTGTGTTAGGCCAAACTGTAAAAACCAGCAAGCAAAAAAAAAAAAACAAAGAAAAAACAAAAATAACAACCGAAAACAAAACCAAAGAAGGGAAAGATGGATGTTGAGAGAAAGCTTCAAAAAAAGATCAATTTTAAAAAGAGAACTAGATAAAATAATAAAAAGAAAGATACTTTATGAGTCAAATTCTTAAAATCAGTAGACCTGGCTTTTCTATAGGAGATGGAGGGGAAACTAACTAATGACAAAGAATGAATGATATGATAGAATAAGGTATCTTAGCTACTCTCTTTTAAACAAATAAAAGATAAACCAGAATTTTAAAGTTGATTGCAATTATTAAGAGAAGACTATTGAGGGACAGTGAATAGGAACTTTAAGTGGGGCAAACAGTAGAAAATCATAGAAAATCTATATTAGACAGGCTGAGAAACTCACTGGTATTGGTTATGAGAGGAAGAGCTTGCTCTTAATGAAAAAATATAGCAAACTAACAAGCCTTTCCACTTTGCATACTATGTACTTCTGGAATTTGAAATTATTTTCTACTGCATCCTAATGAAACATAACAAAAGCAGTTGGCATCAGAAATAGTCTTGCCTTCTGGCATCATAAAGTTAACTAAGATATTAAGTTTAGTCAACTATGGATAATGTTTGAAATTTAAACACCCTGCTGTTATAGAAACAGATTTTGGAAGCAAAACTTTTTATATTAATGGGAAGTGTTGTGCTGAAACCTCTTCAAGTATTCCAGGAAAGGAAAGGTGTGCATGTATGTGTGCGTGCGTGTGTGTGTGTGTGTGTGTGTGTGCATGTGTTGGGAGGGGGTGCAATATTATAATAAGTCCACCACATTGACTTGCATTTAATCAACTTGTGCCACCATTTTAAGTTTAAAGTATTTTTAAAAAATATAAATAGCTAACATGCATGTAAAAAAGATACTTGGTTTCATCAGTAATGGCGGAGATGCAAATGAATAAGAACATACCATTTTTCACCTGCAGGACTGGCAGTATTACACAAGATTATAGTTGGTTGGGTTAGCCAGAGTGTATGGGAAATGGGCATTTTTACTCTGTTGATGGTAGTGCAGTTAGTTATAATCTCCATAGAGGGAAATTTTGTAGTGCTTAACAGAATTAAAAATTGAGATGGCTTTTTGATCCAGCAGTTTCATCTCTAGTAATATGTCCATTAAGACTGGAAATACCTTAAATGTCCATTATTAAGGGAATGGGTAAAGAAATGAAATTCACCCATACAGTGGATATTATGCAATAATTTAAAATAATTGGGTAGTTCAAAGGAAAGATTTCTGTGACATTAGGTAAGAAAACAAGATCTTACTTATGTAAAAACAAATATGGGTTTTTAAAATCAATTACTTTAATTTTAAGTTTTTTTTTAAGAGACAGAGTCTTGCTCTGTCATCCAGGCTGGAGTGCAGTGGCACAATCATAGCTCACACAGCCTCAACTTCTGGGCTCAAGTGATTGTCCTCCCTCAACCTACCAAGTAGGTGGGACTACAGGCATATGCCACCACACCCAGCTAATTTCTTTTTTTTTGAGTTTTTGAGATGGAGTCTCAGTATATTGTCTAAGCTGGTCTTAAACTCCTGGCCTCAAGTGATCCTCCCACCTTGGCCTCCCAAAGTGCAGGGATTGCAGGTGTAAGCCACTGTGCTCGGCCATCAATTAGTTTTCTAATTTAAAAAAAAAAAAAAAAAGAAACTCAGCAGCAATAACAACAAATATCCTTGTAGTTTACTTTGCTCATTTATAACTTATGCTACCCCTATCATCCAAGGGTGTTACTAAAAAGAGAAAGAGGGAGGATTGTCCATTTGTTTTCTGGTAATGGATGTTAGAGCAACTGGTGGGCACTACACTTTTTTTTTTTTTAAAGACAGAGCCTTGTCCTGTCACCCAGGCTGGAGTGCAGTGTCACAATCTCGGCTTACTGCAACATCCGCCTCCCAGGTTCAAGTGATTCTCCCATCTCAGCCTCCCAAGTAGCTGGGATTACAGGCGTGTGCCTCCACACATGGCTAATTTTTGTATTTTTAGTAGAGATGAGGGTTTTGCCATGTTGGCCATTCCGGTCTTGAATTCCTGACCTCAACTGATCCACCTGCCTCGGCCTCCTAAAGTGCTGGGATTGCAGGCATGAGCCACCACGCCCGGCCATGCACTGCTTATTAGTTGATCATGATAGAGCTATACTCCCTTTTCCAGTAATTCCTTTAGATATCACTGCAGTGGTGAGGATTTAGCACGTGATGAATCAATGACTAGTTATGTTCTGTAAAAGCTTTGTCTTTAGAATTCTTATGTAAACAAAGATGTCATAAAATATCGCTTCTCTTCTTTCTCTGAAGGGTCACATGGATGAAGATGTTCAGGCGGCTCTGCTCCAGATCATACAAATGCGGCAGGGGCTTGTGTGCTAGCAGTTAGCACTGGCTGCCAGTATCTGTTTTATCTTGCTGGTGCTGAACATTCTTTGTACAACTCCATGGTCTTTCTGGGCCGTACTGTGCTGGTATAATTAAAATAAAATATATTTTGTTCCATCGGTAGGTTTTTAAAAAATTAGATAAATACGTTAGTCTTTTCCAGTATCATTTCAAATCTTATTTTCTCTGTGTGTTAATTTTACAAACAGGCAAACAACATAGCACTTTGCCCTGGATTGACTGCATATTTTTAAACCTTTGAGTCCCTAATAAAATGTGAGCCATCTGAGTGAGTCCATATGAAGGGAGGTTAGGCTGAACTAATTGCTTAAAGATTTCTTTCAGAGAAATGAATTTGGTTGGTGGCCACTTTTGGATCAAAAGACCTTTCAGAACCTCACAACTTGAGACATACTACAGTTGCAAGGAATGCATTGTAACTTGGCTGGCTAAGTTATGTCTTTATTGAGGTAACTTCATTAGTGTCTTTGGCCTTTTCTGGAGGTGTAGATATTTTTTCTTTTTGCACTAATAACTTTTATGCCTTTTAAAATAAATTGATTTTCATAAATGGTTTACAGTGCTAAATTACATTTAAATGAAGAACAGGCACGGGTGGAATATATCAGGAATTTATAATAAAATTGCCTCATAATCTCTACAACAGTACCTTAATTTTTACTTGTGGTGACTATTCTTGCCACAGTATTAGTGAATAATGATAAATGATATACTAGATTTTTCAAAGTGTCAAAACCTTTAGACTTTCTTTTGCGATTAGTTTGACATTTGCTACTATAGTAACCAAGCACTTATTATATATGCATCCTCCAAATGTTTCTTGCCTGTTTATAGGAAAGTTATACTAATGAGATTAATAATGTGAAATACAGTTTTCCTGCAAAATTACCATTAGAGAATTGATTTTAGATAACCAATTTTTAAAGTTTTAAAGAAAAGTACAATAATACAGTACACTGAAAGACTGTATAGATAGCAATAAAATAACATAAGTGGACATGTTTATAGTAAATACTCTGAAGTAACTAACCATTTTTATTAACTACATCTCATTAGGGAAAGTTTATATGTCTTGTTATTTTTTATTAACATTTTATTTACCATTCAGAGTGAAAATTACTAATTTGACTGTTAACAAATAACTGAGCAAATGAATCGTCGGAGTTGGGTTTTCTTAAATTGCAAAATTTGCCTTAGCAATAATCTTTGAACATCCTGAACCAGATTTTTTTCTTCCCTTTTTGTTCAATAGGGCAAAAGTACCATCAAAATGGCTTCTCATACCAAAGACTAAGCCATCATGTTTTTTCAGTGTTAAAACAACAGTGAAAGGCAGAATTGGATTTATTTTTTTCTTTATACAGTTTACTTAAGCAGTATCTGTTTCTTTAATTTTTTTTTTTTTTTTTTTTTTTTTTTTTTTTTTTTTTTTTTTTTTTTTTTTTTTTTTTTTTT